CTCAGTTTGGGTCAAGGAGGCATGCTCTGAAAAAGACATCGAGGGGATCTTATCCGCGAATAAGGTGGGAGCATAAAACAGAGACGCATCAGTCTTTCTTTAATTCCTCCTGCCAGGTACAGGGGCTAGTAGCCCAGTCCTCCTAATCACAGTGGTGAAAGTAGCCAAGGCGAGCGAGCGTGATCCACCATCAGACAGAACTGTAGCCTGCCATCTAAAGATAGTGGTAAGATGATCCCTAAGCAGGAAGGGGTTATCCTTAGAGATCTTGAAGTTATGGCCTCCGTGGCGAAAGCTTGAGCTGAAGAGGGCTTCAAGGTTCGATGGAGTTCGTATCAGTCACCAACAACTTGGCATCTGGGACCTTGTATTGAGCCTGAGAAGCATCCGACAATCGTTTGGCAGCTTCATCTTGTGTAGCGCCAAAATCCACAAAGTCAAAAGAATACCTTATGTCGTGTTGAGCAGGCTTGATGGAAGAGTTGAGAGGCGGCGGCCGGGCGCCCGAGCGTCCCACTACAGAGCGCCTGGGACAGAAAGCCAGGAAGAGCGAGGTGAACACCGGCGAAGCGTCTAGGTGAAAACAGCTTCAAGCGCCACACTCTGTTGTCGCTTGGGAAACGCCAGCATCCAGCGCCAGGTGAAGCGGCTTGAAGTGAAGAAACGATCATCTGGGCGCTGGCGATCCTCCGTTCCAGTAAACCAACCAAGTGCTCCGTAAGCCAGGAATCTTGAAGAATAGATGGACGCCTGGATTCCACAGCATTGTCGATCTGGGCCTGTGTGAGAGGCTTCGCTCTGGGCGTTCAGAAGATGAGACTGGCGGGGAGGTGAAATCGTAGATCGCCGATCCCGCTGAAGCGTGAAGGCGTTCCCAGCTGTGAGCGTGGCGTCCGAAGGAACCTGAGCAGTCTCAAAGCGTCGTTAAAGACATGAAGTAAAGCAGCTGCGTTAGTAAAACGCTTGCGTTGAGTAAAACGTTTGTTCGAGCAGCTAAAGCAGCATTTAAAATTCCGATTGGAAGAGTAGGTGCCCGGCAAAATAAGCACCGAGGGTTCCAGTTCCGCGTAAGGTTGACCAGACAATCGGGCAAGCAGGATGGGGGATCTTTTGGCGACTTCTGAGACTTACACCGATTGCAGTAAACCATTGGCATGAACTAACCACAGCAAGCTGCAACAACAGAAAAACAAATACTGTTGAACACATGTTGAAGTAAATATTAACATTATAACAAAGAAAATATGGCATAACAAAAACGGTTATGATAAAGCAAATATAAGCCTACATGGGAAGGAAGACCGCGTGCAAAACACATAACTTTGGTATACACGGCTTACCCGAATAAGAAGAAAGCTGACAACTAGCAGCGACGGTGAAGCGAAAAACAGGAAAGCGGAATCTGAAAACTAAAGCGACAACAGAGAGCACACACAGGTACCTCTGCATGTATGTGCCAGCCTAGCGACAGCCGCCATTACTGGCGGCATGTGAAAAACCTCTGCGAAGAAAAACCACAAAATATGACACAAATAAAGAGAACAAGATACATACAATGGTCAAGCAAGGACAAAAACAACCCAGGCTGACCAAAGAGGTACATAATTCTGCGAAGCAAAGCTGGATAAACAGCGAGGCAAAGCAAAGCAAATTAACACACGGCGAAGACCGTACAGTGAGAAAAAAAACGGCCAGCGGTGAGGTAGCTTTTAGTTATATCATGGTAGAAGGATGCAAGAGCGGTTACGTAGCAAAACACAAAAGAATACAGTAAGAAAGAAAACAGAAATATCGGTATACCGTCCAACTTCGCTGTGCGGGATAAAGGGCGTAAAGTGGTCGTGTTCTGGTTGTCACATGGCGGCGGGACGAGATCGACATGTCACCAGTTTCATGATAGCATGCAACAAGGATACTTATCGATCACGTTTCCAATCTTTGTATCGGATGAGCAAAGGTAATATGCACATTACCATGAGGTAAGGTAAGTTAAACAAATTAAAGATTGTAATTTTATAAAAAAAAATTAACTCATTACTCACGTATTAAATGTGAATATTAGCAGAACATAACTCCAGATTCAAAGACAGGTGAACAGTTAGTATTTTGTCAAGTCACCATGGGCAGCAATGCAGGCTTCAATGCGGCGGGGCATACTACTGATCAAAGAAGTTAGAAAGTCGTGGTCCATGTTGTCCCAATATCGGACCACCTCTTCTTTCATTTTAGCAATATTTGTCAGATTTTTCTTATTGACACTTTCCTTCACAAGTCCCCAAACATTTTCAATTAGATTTAGGTCAGGGCTATAGCTTGGCCAATCTAATAATGTCGTATTTTGGGTCCGAAACCAGGCCTGTGAATGCTTTGAACAATGTTTTGGGTCGTTGTGCTGCTGGAAAATCCGAAAATGTCCATAGAACACGTGAGCAGATGGAAGTAAATGTCCCTTGAGAATATCTGTGTACTGCTCGCTGTTCATATTCCTTCAAATACACAGAGGGCGTTGCCCTAACACAGATATACCACCCCACACGTTAAATTTCGGACTGTACTTTGGGTTGCTGATACAAAGGTTTTCAGTTTGTTTGGTCCAGAATTTCAGTGTATTAGGAAACAGCCACACAGAACTTTCATCTGAGAAAATCACATTGTCCCAGTTAAAATTTCTATGCTGTAAGCACCAGTTCAACCTTCACTCCTTTTGTTCAGGTTTAATGATCTGTGATGGAATTCCTCGACTTTTCTGCCAACCCACTGCAGTGCAGCTCAGTTCTAATTGTCTCCTTACAGACAGCCACAGTTCCTCTATCAATCATATCATAATAAGTCTGCTAGCAAGTAAACAAAGGGGATAACTCTTCACAAACTAATGAAAAAGTATTAATGGAGTTGTCTCTCTTGAATGAAACCAAGCACTTGATAGCTGGTCAAGGCTGTTTATACTAGAAATCCAATTAAACATATTCCAAAAATTCTCAATAATTTCTGGTCATTCTATAGAAATGATTGCTTTACTTATAAATCTGAAGTCCTAATTTGATATGATAAAATCTAAATCTTCAAAATCAAGGTCAGATCTGGGTTAGAATTGGTCTTCAGTAACCCATACTTGTAAAAAGAGGTGACTGACGTGGTCAGTCTCGCTGACTTGATGTTAAACAACAAAGAAACCAGATCCTTGTACGAAGATGGAAAATTTGACTATCGAATCCTTTTGGATGGCTAATATAGCTGAACACCTCAAACAATTGGTTGACACGCCGACACGTCATCTTAGCCCAATTGCATAGATCAATGCCCATACAGTTGATCACTGGATTGTTTGGTCCAGACTTGATTATTACAGACCCCCATCATACAGCTGGAATATTGGCTGAATGTGACGTTAAGCAAGAAACCAACCAACCAATATTGAAGGTCTGTGTCCTGCCAACAAAGCTGCACACTTCTATATTAGTGTCCCTCTCTTTCAATATCTCAATTGTCGTTAACTTTTCAAATATATAAACATATGATAATCTGCAGGACAGAAGTGGAACTCTACCTACCTCCTCAAAAAGCACAGTCCAGGATGTTTCCAATGTACTCGAACTGAGGATCCAGGATCTCTTAACATATAAGCCCAAGCTGAAAAATTCAAACATTTTAATGTTTTACCATGACAACAAACTGGTTATTGTCAATCTTTGACAAACATTCATAGTAGGTTTGTTATAAATCTCGACCTTAATATACATGGGTCTGTCTCCCCACCTGGGACTATGTCCATTGCTTGACAAGTGTCGGGACATCTTCTATAACCTTCCGTCTGCTACTGCTTGCTGAGCTTGGCCAAGATGAACAGGTTAAGCTTCATCCAGAATTCGGGTCCAGTCTCCCAGAGTTCACGACGTGGTAGTTTCTCTAAAGAGAACTGAAACACATTTATTGTGCAAGAAATTAAATTCAGATATGAAATTACTTCATCATCTACATTGATCAGACATTGTTTGGAGGGAAGTCTGTTACGTTTGCCAGATGAACTTTTATACATACAGCACCAGGAACTCATCAACCACCCCTAACTTCTTGTATGCTTGTATATACATGTCCAATCTCTCCTGCTCTGTACATCCCACTGGCTTCTAACTGTAATCCACTGTCACTGGCCTCTACATGTAATCCCTTGTCATCACATTGTCACTGCTCAAATATCACACGTGCGTGCGTAAGTGCGTATGTATATATGACCCTGTATTTTACCTGACTCATACTTGTTTGACAACAAAACAAGAATCTGTATCGAAACGTCGCATCATCCAATAAAGAAGTTGTTCATCCATCAAGTTTGTCCTTATCTAGGTGGGCATGTTAAATTTCTAGGACTTGTTAGCCATACAGTACTCAGTAGTTACTAATATGAGTTCCCTTACTCTGTTTGAGGCGGTGGGGTAGCCGAGTGGTTAAAGCGTTTGCTCGTCTTGCCGAAGACCCGGGTTTGATTCCCCACATGCGTACAATGTGTGAAGCCCATTTCTAGTGTCCCCCGCCATGATTATTGCTGGAATATTGCTAAAAGCGGCGTAAAACCATACTCACTCACTCACTCACTCCTTACTCTGTTTGACATGCAGACATCGCAACTCGATGCTTCAACAATGAACAGTGACAATCGTCATATGTATAATCATGGTAACTTTAAAGTATAAACTTAAAACTTATTACACTATTAAACTATTAATAGTTTCCTCATCAGTTAGACAAATGTATTTCAGAGCCCTCGGCCGGTTGTTGCTTGAGTCGACATGTGAAAACAAACTCGTAAAGCATTTCAGATTCTTGAGTGTGCAAACACAGCCCGTCAGTACCTTTAAAGTTTACCATATACCACGTTTAGTGGCCCGAATAAGCGCAAAAGTGTGTCCAAGAACACAGCCTGTATTACCTGCTGAATCGTAATAGGTCAAGGAGTAGCCGATAGTTCCGTCACTTGAAACCACCTCCTACTTTAGTCCGTGGTTCAGCACAGCTTCTGGGTAATAACCTTAGTCCTTCAATCACACATGCGTATATTTTGGATTTGGTGAGTGAGTTAGGGTTTCTAGTCACATCAGCAATATTTCAGCCATATAGTGACTAAAACAATTATACATTCATGACACATAAACCGATAATATAAAAGCTGGTTGATGAACTACATTAAAACAACCAGAAAATCACAGATACAGATGTGAAACTTGCATGTAAAATCTAAAACTATAGACAGTACAACATATAAAACAAGCTACAGATCATCAATCACCATACTATAGTGTGTTTGGCTCAAAAGCGGACTGATGAATTGCAATCTAACTTCGAAAACTAATAAACATAAAATACTCAATGAAACACTGATCATAATCAAAACATCAGACCAACTCTGTCATTTGTTTGCAGAATTTATGTCTAAAATTAAAAAGTTGTTTAACAAACAATCATTAAAATATTGACACAGTTCACTATTTCTTCTACGAGGGAGGAGTGCAGAAGAAAGGGACAGCCAGGTGTTAGAAAGCACGATACAAGTGCCGACAAAGTTATTGATTCATTAACCTGTGCTGTGCCCTCTCCATCCTTTCTCGCACACCTGGCTGTCCCTTTCTCTGCACTCCTCCCTCGTAAGAAATAACAACTTTTTTATTTTGAGCCAAACGGACTATAAGGACCAAGGGACCTTAGGCAAGTGAGTGTGTGAGTGAGTATGGTTTTATGTCGATTTTGGCAATATTAAACCAATATCACTGCGGGAGACACCAGAAATGGGCTTCACACATTATACCGACGTGGGGATAAGGTTCGATTCACCAAATAATTGAGTGAATGGTAACAGGACTTGTCTTAAGTCATTTTGATTTGCTACACTACCAACTCTGAGCAATCAGTCGTATATATTCAGAGGGATGTAGGAAGTGAAAATCAACAAGGAGTTATGAATTTGGGTTTAACACATGCTCACATTAAGAAATATGCATGAACAGGTACCGGTATATGAATGAATGTAGCAAGTTTTACTATTGTTGACATAAACAGTTTTTTAATCACTACCCAGTTATTACTGTAATCGTATATATATATATTTTCACAGGGTTCAATTTTCGCGGAAAGTTCTCAAAAGGCCTGTTAGCGCAGTTGTTTTTTAGCGCATTTCAAACACCTGGTGATGGTATCCATCTAGCGTTTTTCTAACCGATAGTGGTGGAATGATGAAAGCTACATTGTGTTAAGGAATAACTTCGTAAAGCGAACATCTGGAGTTCTTGACATTGTTTGATCACGTAGTTTGTAAACATGGACCGGGAATAATTGCTTTGATGTTGTTATCTGAGAGAATAAACAAATTACATGTTGTTCCTACTTGAGTATTTGTCATGACTTCACCTTGAATATTTAAGCGGGTATGATTATTGGTAGCACAATCTTTTTGCTAAAAAGCCGAACATTAATCCCACGTGAAAATAACTTCGATTACAGTATTTGTTCTTGTCTATCATAAGAACCCATCTTCGACACAGAAAACTTACACTGAGACAACTAGGCCTTATTTGGTTGGTTGCTTTGTTGTTTATACCGCACTCGGCAATATTTCAGCTATATGGCGGCGGTCTGCAAATAATCGAGTATGGACCAGATCAACAGTGATCAACAGCATGAGCGATCTACACAATTGGAATCACGATGGCGTGTGTCAACCAAGTCCGCGAGCCTGACCACCTGATCTCATTACTCGCCTCGTACGACAAGCATAGTCACCTTTTGTGGCAAGCATGGGTTGCTGAAGACCTATTCTACCCCGGATCTTCACGGGTTTAAGATGAGTTGAGGTGAAATGGGCCAAAGTGAGTGAGTGAGTTTAGTTTAGCTTTACGCTGCACTCAGCAATATTCCAGCTATATGTTGGTTGTATCAACTATGCAATTAGGATATGTATCAGTTCGTAACGTTGAGGACCCGGGTTCAATTCCCCACATGAGTACAATGTTTGAAGCCCATTTCTGGTATTCCTTGCCGTGATATTGCTGGATTATTGCTAACAGTGGATGCAACCATACTCACTCAGTCACTGTTATAACACAAAGATACTTATCAATATCTGATGACTATTTACAAACTATAGCATACATCTTAAAAACACTTTTGCATTTTGTTTTCTGCAGAGTATAGATGAGAGTGTCAGCACCACAGTGGAACAAACATTACCTTAAAGTGCTCCACTTGGATGTCATCTCCTCGTTTAGAAAGTTTGGTTCCATCCCTAACCAAACAACAAACATTTATCCATCAGAGTTTGTACATTTTATAATAAATTGTATATTTATATACTTATCCTATCTCACGGTATGCACCCCTCTTCTTCTTCTTCTACGACCATGTGTGGAAACGTGCTGTAGGCTAAGTTGTATCAATCTTACTGGCCTCTGACCCGCCCTGACCTCTGCCCCCACTCCGACATCAGCACCTGTCAGTCATCTCCGTAAGCATGCAGCTCGCTCAGATGATCATGTGACTACCTGTGCCTGTCATTCTCGTCTTGGAGCTGATGGTTGAATCGGGTGGCAAAGAGATGTCAATGGAAGACAAAGGGTCTGGAACACCTGAGGATGTAATCTCCATTCCATTGGAGAGGGACGACTCGGCCGGGACAGAGAATCTGCGATGACATTCTTCACCCCCGGAATATGGTTGGCTCAGACTAAGATGTTGAGAGAGTCCACCAGATCGAAGAACTGTTGGGTCCACTGCTGCAGTTGAGTAGACCCCGTGGACCCCATTCTGTTGATATGCCAAACCACCGTTGCGTTGTCCGATCGGATCATGAGGGAAGTTGCTCGTAGGACATCCTGCCAGTGACTGATTGCAAGAATCACCGCCCTGAACTCCAGAACGTTGATGTGACAGGTGCGATCAACGTGAGACCACAGCCCTGCAACTTGTTGATTGAGAAGATGAGCTCCCCACCCGTGTTGAGACGCGTCCACATACAGGTGGTGAGACGGAACAAACGGCCCTAAACAAACAGAGGTAGAGTGATCAAGGCAACGGGATCTCCCACTCAGATGTAAGGCGCTAGAAAGAACTGCAAGGGACGAAGTTGTAGTTGCCCCCTGAGGGTCAATGCCTGAGCCGACGTCAAGAGGCCCAGGAGCTCCTGCCACTGACGAAGCATCCTTGGGTGCGCCTGTGACTGCTCCAATGAATTGAAAACAGCACATAGGGACTAGTTCCGATTTCCGCAGATTGATTAACCAGCCTAATTGGCGAAGAAGCTGTACGCAAACTGCATGTGAAGAAGCAGGAGGGCATGATTGGTCTGCGCCTGAATGCAGTCGTCGATGTAGGCTTCGAACACTATCCCCTTGCAGTGAAGGAAACTGGTGATAGGCTTCATTACCCGTGTAAACAGCCACGGGGCCGAAGAAATTCCAAACGGAAGGACATGCCACTGATAGTGGGTGCCCTCGAAGACAAACCGAAGGAACTTGCGATGAGCTGAGAAGATCTGGATGTGGAGGTAAGCATCCTGGAGATCCAAACTGACCATGTTGTCTCCCGGCTTGATAATGGTGTTGAGGAGTGCCACCGGTACCATGCGAAAATGGGGCGGAGGCTGCAGAAACCTCTCGTTGAAAATCTTCATGTTGAAGATTAACCTCAGTTTGTCCGAATCCTTCTTGGGTACCAGAAAGATTGGAGAACAGAACCCCGGGACGGTCAGAGTAAGTAAAGTGAGAGGAGGATCCCCAATGATTGGCAGCTGAAACCCCGTGGATAACATGGAGAGGATGTAAGGGTCTCCCAAGATGATCCAGTTGGGAGCATAGGTCCCAAGCCGGCCACCTACTGGGGAAGTCAGAAAGGGCACGACTGGAGGTGGAAGAACCCAGTCGCGTTCTAATGTCATCAAGTCACTGTTTGTCAGGCCTTTGCGAAGTGGACTGGTTGGCAGTGGAAGCTGGTCGTGAAGCAGAGAATGCCCGACGTTGACGGCTGGACCGTCCTCTGACAAAGCATCCCTTTCCACGAAAGGAAGCAGTAGAACCCGCACGCAGGTCCGGATTGACAGGAACATAACGGGCTGGTCGTCGCCGACGCAACAATTCCTCCACCTGCAAACGTTGGAATTCCAACAATTCCACTGACACTTGTAAATGAGCATCTTGACCAACTCTGTCGGCGACATCTCTAATCACCCCGTTGAAAAGAGACCTACCAGACAACGGCTGCCGAGAGATCGATGCGAACCTATCCTCCCATGAGGATAAGTGCAAAAGCCCCTCTGCGGCGCACAGCTGTGACATCACCGAAAAGTGAGCCAACTGATCCTGAATGGTCTGAAATTGCTCTTGCAATAAGACCATAGCCGCTGGAATATACGCTTGTTGATGGGGCGTAGCATGTGCACCGACATAGCCACCGCCTCAGTAGTGCGTCAACACCATGTTGAGTGAAGCCATAATCTTCCTTATGACACCATCCAGATGCAAAAAGCTCAGGATCCTCCACCAGGAGCGGTAAGTAGGCTTTCTGTTTAGTTGCCAGCAATGTAATATCATCATCCACCGAGGAGGCGATCAGCGTGAGAAACCATGCATGAGCAGATGCCAAATTGAAGCGAGGAGTTGCGAACCCATCCTTAACCTTCCTCAGGTTACCAAAAGCCTCATCCAGAGATGCTGCCAATTGAGTAATACAGTCGAGGCGGGAACGTGATGGAACCGAAAGCACCTGGCTTCATATCAAAACAGGATAATAAATCCGCCGACGAACTACTACTCTGGCTATCGGCAATCCAGATGAGTAGTTGAGGTGTGTCAACAGCATCCACGCTACCATCCGACAGTGCTGTACCATCAGAAGAAGGAGATGGCGTCATCGAACGACAAACCTCCTCTAAAAGTGGAACTGGATTGGTCGAAGGACTCGATGACTGAACAGCAGCGGAAGTTGCTGGTGCCTGATGCCGTAATGCTCACGCTACCGCTAGCACAATGGCGTCAAAATGCACAGGTTGAGAAGTCGAAACCTCCGACACCGGATTCCAGGATACCGGCAAAATAGGTTTCACCACCGATCCCGTTGTAGGAGGAATCCACGAAACAGACGCAGACACAAAGGGATGACAAGGCACCTCACTGAGAGCAGACGGACATCCAGCTGACTGAGGCACACCCCATGAGGCAACGATGAACCCATAGGGTCCCTGGCATTGGAAGCAAAAGCTGAGCTGAGTGGACGCAGTGCCAAACTTGACACATGAGAGGTGAGCACTGAACCCTGAGGAAGCGTCGAACCAAATGCCCCATGAGTCAACCTTGAAGCCAGTGAACTATGAATAAGCGCCCGAAGCATCGAACCCATGAGTAAAAGCGCCCGAACAGGACCCCTGAGGCAAGCATCGAACTGGGAATACTGTGAGTAAGCGCAACTAAAGCCTCCATGAATAAGCGCCGAACCGGGAGCACCGGGATAAAGCGCCGAACTGGGAACACCGGGATAAAAGCGCAAAAGGGGCACCGGAGGAAGCCAAACCAAAGCGACTATGAGTAAGCGCCGAACTGGGAACACCGGGAGGAAGCACCGAAAACGGAACACCGGGATGAAGCGCCAAATCAGGAACACCGGGAGGAAGCGCCAAACCAGAGGCAAACAAGAGCGCCAAACTGGAAGCAAGCAGCGCTCTGAATGACATCATGGGATCGGTAAGAAGCGGCGCTCTACCAACAGGTAACTGTCCTGATGTAAGTGGTGCTGGGCGACAAACGGCGCACTAGAATAGCGTGGTGGTCCATAACCCAACGGTACATGATAAGGGATAGATGTGGAAAAAGGCACTCTAGGAATCATTGACACACCTGTCAACCCACCGAGGAGGATGAGAAGCGCCGCGCGACGAAACCATCCACTGCACCCGAAGCAACTGACACATTCGACACAAGCCCTGAATGGGAAACAGGCGTAGAATCAACCACCGAAATGGAAAGCGCCGCACTGCAAGGAAGCGTCACTTGTGATGTTATGCTAGTAGTCACACCAAGGGTCACACGAGGAATCCCCACCTCAGGAACAGAAGTGCACTGAGGAATAGGTATCACCGAAGAGGGACAGGTTTGAAGAGACGACATAGACAACACGACAACTCTAGGTGGTGAAGAGTCTTCTTAAGTGATGGGGCTAGACGCATGCGGCCGGAAAAGTTGACGTAAATTTTCACTGAGGTAAGAATCGGACACCTCCCCTAGGAAATCTTCAGCAGGCGACGGGGACTTCAAACGTCGGACTGCAGTTTTCTTACGGCGTTCTGTCTTAGAATGTTTAGACACAGAAGGACCCTCAGATGGTTGACGACGATCCCTGTCTGACATGCGTCTACAAGCTACCCGGCAATATTCGGAAAAAGCATCATCGTTGAGGTCTGCACAAAAAGTGCAACGTTGAGACCACTCCCAACGTCTTAAACAATCAACACATAAAGCATGTGGGTCTGCCGCCAAGATGTTGCTGCTGCATTTATCGCAATATTTACGCTATTGGGCACTATTGCGATTCGATTTTCCCATTGTAGAAACACAATCAAACTTTCTTAGAGACAGGCACACATCCACACGACGTAGCGACAGTACAGAGAATGACAGGTAGAGGTAGTCACATGATCATCTGAGCGAGCTGGACGCTTACTGAGATGATTGATAGGTGCTGATGTCTGAGTGGGGTCAGAGGTCAGGGCGGGTCAGAGGCCAGTAAGATTGATACAACTTAGCCTACAGCACGTTTCCACACATGGTCGTAGAAGAAGAGGAGAGGTGCATACCGTGAGATAGGATAAGTTTAAAAATTTGTCATTTCAAGAATATATGTTCTTTTGAAAACTGCATGATCAGCATTATGCATCAGCATATGCTAATGAATGTCAGTTTCCAAGTCAGGTTTTGCAGCCAACAGGGAATCTTTACGTCATGTGAACTTCACATACAACTTCTGTTCATTATAATCAATGCAAATATATCTGACACAATACATTGTTAACAGGTCTACAAATATGGAAAGATGCTATAAATAGCCATGCTGTCATGTAAGTCTGAAGAGCCGGAGAAATTCTCTGCTCAGTAAGTGTGGAAGTGATGACGATACTTTGAAAATAAACCCAGGATGGTGGCGAACCCAGGATGGTGACGAACCCAGGATGGTGGCGAACCCAGGATGCTGACGGATGAATCCCCATATGGCAAACAACAACACAACAACACAAGGTAGACAAGACATGTTCAAGACATTGTAGCAACTCACTTGTTGAGAATGAGAGGGAGGTGAGCATATCGGGGAGGATCCCATCCAAATGATTTGTACAGTAACAGATGTTTGGGCGTGGAGGTCTGCCATTCCTAAACAAACAAAGGCAGTACCATGACATCCAACATTCACATCAAGACACCTTATCACTATCCTGAAAATAATCCAATTTTAACATAGTCACATCTTAACCTCATATCACAATATCCAAATCCACACGGTGACATAATCTCATACCATGACAAACAAGAGTCATCAGAACATGACATATTCCCCCAGGGCCAACATCTTTGAAAGAACAAATCATCTGACAGTAACTTAAAGTCCAGTCACCACACGTGGCATAAAGACATCACATCGTGGCATCAAGTCATCACATCATGGCATCAAGTCAACACACCCACCAGGGCATCCAGTCATTACACCCACCATGGCATCCAGTCACCCCACCATGGCATCAAGTCACCCCACCATGGCATCCAGTCAACACACCCACCATGGCATCCAGTCACCACACCCACCATGGCATCCAGTCACCACACCCACCGTGGCATCCAGTCATAACACCCACCATTGCATCCAGTCACCACACCAACCATGGCATCCAGTCATCGCACCCACCATGGCATCCAGTCACCACACCCACCATGTCATCAAGTCACCCCACCATGGCATCCAGTCAACACACCCACCATGGCATCCAGTCACCACACCCAACATGGCATCCAGTCACCACACCCACCATGGCATCCAGTCATCACACCAACCATGGCATCCAGTCACCACACCATCCATGGCATCCAGTCATCACACCCACTATGGCATCCAGTCATCACACCCACCAAGGCATCCAGTCACCACACCCACCATGACATCCAGTCACCACACCCACCATGGCATCCAGTCAAAACACCCACCATGGCATCCAGTCATCACACCCACCATGGCATCCAGTCACCACACCAACCATGGCATCCAGTCACCACACCCACCATGGCATCCAGTCACCACACCCAACATGGCATCCAGTCACCACACTATGGCATCCAGTCACCACACCCACCATGGCATCCAGTCATCACACCCACCATGGAATCCAGTCACCACACCCACCATGGCATCCAGTCACCACACCCACCATGGCATCCAGTCATCACACCCACCATGGCATCCAGTCATCACACCCACCATGGCATCCAGTCACCACACCCACCATGGCATCCAGTCACCACACCCACCATGGCATCCAGTCACCACACTATGACATCCAGTCACCACACCCACTATGGCATCCAGTCATCACAACCACCATGGCATCCAGTCACCACACCCACCATGGCATCCAGTCATCACACCCACCATGGCATCCAGTCATCACACCCACCATGGCATCCAGTCACCACACCCACCATGGCATCCAGTCATCACACCCACCATGGCATCCAGTCACGACACATAAAATACACTATGGCATCCAGTCACCACACCCACCATTGCATCCAGTCACCACACCCACCATGGCATCCAGTCACCACACCTACCATGGCATCCAGTCATCACACCAAAATGGCATCCAGTCACCACACCCACCATGGCATCCAGTCACCACACCCACTATGGCATCCAGTCATCACACACACCACACCCACCATGGCATCCAGTCACCACACCCACCATGGCATCCAGTCATCACACCCACTATGGCATCCAGTCATCACACCCACCATGGCATCCAGTCACCACACCCACCATGGCATCCAGTCACCACACCCACCATGGCATCCAGTCAAAACACCCACCATGGCATCCAGTCATCACACCCACCATGGCATCCAGTCACTACACCCAACCATGGCATCCAGTCACCACACCCACCATGGCATCCAGTCATCACACCCACTATGGCATCCAGTCATCACACCCACCATGGCATCCAGTCATCACACACACCATGGCATCCAGTCATCACACCCACCATGGCATCCAGTCATCACACCCACCATGGCATCCAGTCACCACACCATGGCATCCAGTCATCACACCCACCATGGCATCCAGTCACCATACACACCATGGCATCCAGTCATCACACCCACCATGGCATCCAGTCACCACACCCACCATGGCATCCAGTCACCACACCCACCATGGCATCCACTCACCACACCCACCATGGCATCCAGTCACCACACACCCACCATGGCATACAGTCACCACACTATGGCATCCAGTCACCACACACCACCATGGCATCCAGTCACCACACCCACCATGGCATCCAGTCATCACACCCACCATGGCATCCAGTCAACACACACCCACCATGGCATCCAGTCACCACACTATGGCATCCAGTCACCACACCCACCATGGCATCCAGTCATCACACCCACCATGGCATCCAGTCATCACACCCACCATGGCATCCACTCACCACACCCACCATGGCATCCAGTCATCACACCCACCATGGCATCCAGTCACCACACCCACCATGGCATCCAGTCATCACACCCACCATGGCATCCAGTCACCACACTATGGCATCAAGTCACCCCACCATGGCATCCAGTCACCACACCCACCATGGCATCCAGTCACCACACCCACCATGACATCCAGTCAACACACCCACCATGGCATCCAGTCACCCACCCACCATGGCATCCAGTCACCACACCCACCATGACATCCAGTCAACACACCCACCATGGCATCCAGTCACCACACACCCACCATGGCATCCAGTCATCACACCCACCATGGCATCCAGTCACCACACCCACCATGGCATCCAGTCACCACACCCACCATGGCATCCAGTCAACACACCCACCATGGCATCCAGTCACCACACCCACCATGGCATCCAGTCACCACACCCACCATGGCATCCAGTCACCACACCCACCATGGCATCCAGTCACCACACCACCATGGCATCCAGTCACCACACCCACCATGGCATCCAGTCATCACACACCCACCATGGCATCCAGTCATCACACCCACCATGGCATCCAGTCACCACACCCACCATGGCATCCACTCACCACACCCACCATGGCATCCAGTCACCACACTATGGCATCCAGTCACCACCATGGCATCCAGTCACCACACCCACCATGGCATCCAGTCATCACACCCACCATGGCATCCAGTCACCACACCCACAATGGCATCCAGTCATCACACCCACCATGGCATCCAGTCATCACACCCACCATGGCATCCAGTCACCACACCCACCATGGCATCCACTCACCACACCCACCATGGCATCCAGTCACCACACCCACCATGGCATCCAGTCACCACACCCACAATGGCATCCAGTCACCACACCCACCATGGCATCCAGTCACCACACCCACCATGGCATCCAGTCATCACACCCACTATGGCATCCAGTCACCACACCCACAATGGCATCCAGTCATCATACCCACCATGCCATCCAGTCATCACACCATGGCATCCTGTCACCACACCATCGCATCCAGTCACCACACCCACCATGGCATGCAGTCACCACACCCACCATGGCATCCAGTCACCACACTATGGCATCCAGTCACCACACTATGACATCCAGTCATCACACCATGACATCCAGTCACCACACCATGGCATCCAGTCATCACACCATGACATCCAGTCATCACACCATGACATCCAGTCACCACACCCACCATGACATCCAGTCACCACACCATGGCATCCAGTCACCACACCATGACATCCAGTCATCACACCATGACATCCAGTCATCACACCATGACATCCAGTCACCACACCATGACATCCAGTCACCACACCATGGCATCCAGTCATCACACCATGGCATCCAGTCACCACACCATGGCATCCAGTCATCACACCATGACATCCAGTCATCACACCATGACATCCAGTCATCACACCATGGCATCAAGTCACCACACCATGACATCCAGTCATCACACCATGGCATCCAGTCACCACACCATGGCATCCAGTCATCACACCATGACATCCAGTCACCACACCATGACATCCAGTCACCACACCATGGCATCCAGTCATCACACCATGACATCCAGTCATCACACCATGACATCCAGTCATCACACCATGGCATCCAGTCACCACACCATGACATCCAGTCACCACACCATGGCATCCAGTCACCACACCATGGCATCCAGTCATCACACCATGACATCCAGTCACCACACCATGACATCCAGTCACCACACCATGGCATCCAGTCATCACACCATGACATCCAGTCATCACACCATGACATCCAGTCATCACACCATGGCATCAAGTCACCACACCATGACATCCAGTCATCACACCATGGCATCCAGTCACCACACCATGGCATCCAGTCACCACACCATGGCATCCAGTCACCACACCCACCATGACATCCAGTCACCACACCCACCATGACATCCAGTCACCACACCATGACATCCAGTCACCACACCCACCATGACATCCAGTCACCACACCATGGCATCCAGTCATCACACCATGACATCCAGTCATCACACCATGACATCCAGTCATCACACCATGACATCCAGTCATCACACCATGGCATCCAGTCACCACACCATGGCATCCAGTCATCACACCATGACATCCAGTCATCACACCATGACATCCAGTCATCACACCATGACATCCAGTCACCACACCATGACATCCAGTCACCACACCATGGCATCCAGTCATCACACCATGACATCCAGTCACCACACCATGGCATCCAGTCATCACACCATGACATCCAGTCATCACACCATGACATCCAGTCATCACACCATGGCATCAAGTCACCACACCATGACATCCAGTCATCACATCATGACATCCAGTCATCATACTAACACTGTCCAGTACTGACTACAACATGAACACTATTCATCTTGTGTTATCGGAATGTTCACACAACTTACGTCTCCTCGAAGAACATGAGTTATCCCCATATGATGATCATCTACCACATTGGCGAAGTGGTATGTGGGATACCTGTCACTTTTAATGAGAACCTAAAACACAAAAAATACAACCATTGATATAATTCCAGTCATCAAAAGAAAAAAACTTGTTATTTATATATACTAAGAAGCAAAGGAAAAGTCAGTTTGGAATTTTCCTTCGCAGAAACGGATAACTGTAAACTCATTTAATGTTTTGATTGTATATTTTGTACATCTCCATCTTCACCTGAGCAAAGACATTCCTTCCCAAACTCTGAATGGAACCCAGGAAATGGTCTCAAAGACGCAACCTGATCTCGGAGATGGTACAGTGTTCTCCATGTTTTTCATGCAACTCATGCTGCAGGTGCTGTTCTCAAGGACCAGCCCTATCAAATGCACCCCCATACCTGGTTGAAACATTCACATTACAACGTCAGCAGGACGCCACGACTCACGACAACTCAGAGGAACAAGGCGCTAGGAAGACTTGAAGCTGGCCACACTGCACAAGCCGTTGCCAATCACTTCCAGGTCAACGTTCGGACCATCTACAGGCTGCCTCAACGTTTCCGGGCCACCAACACCACAAATGATCGCCCCCCGTACTGGCAGACCAAGGGTGACCACAAGACCGCCATGTTGTGCGACAGCATGTACAGAATCCCTTCATGCAAGCATCGGAAGCAGCACGCCAGACAGTGGGAACACACGGAAGACCAATCAGTACTGATACATTACGCCGATGTCTTAACAGCGGGAACCTCCATTGCCGTAGACCTTACCGTGGACCTATCCTCACCCCTCGTCATCAGTGTGAACGTCTACAGTTTGCCCTACAACACCAAAACTGGCGACACAGGCAATGGAGAACTGTTCTGTTTACAGATGAGAGTCGGTACTGCACAACAACTGCAGATGGCAGAACAAGAATATGGCGACGACATGGCCAGCATTGCTGAGACCAATGTGTTATGGAAAGAGACTCATGGGGAGGTGCAAGCATCAGGGTATGGGGTGGAATAGGCCTGAACCAGAGTGAGTGAGTGAGTGAGTTTGGTTTTACGCCGCTTTTAGCAATATTCCAGCAATATCACGGCAGGGGACACCAGAAATGGGCTTCACACATTGTACCCATGTGGGGAATCGAACCCGGGTCTTTGGCGTGACGAGCGAACGCCTTAACCACTAGGCTACCCCACCGCCCCCCTGAACCAGAGAGTGGGTCCTGTGGTGTTCCAGAACCTTGGTCCAGGGAGAGGAGGCAGCATCACAACGGTGCGCTACATCGACCAAGCTTTCGGACCCCACGTCATACCACATTTCTCACGTCACCGGAACAACAATTTCCAGCATGATAACGCCCGGGCCCATACTGCCATAGCTACACAGGACTTCCTACAGCAGAACGGTTTCAGCATTATGCAGTGGCCAGCTCTTAGTCCTGATTTAAACCCAGTTGAACATCTTTGGGATGAAATTCAGAGGAGACTGAATAATGTCATACCAAGGCCGAACACATTCAATTTATTGCACCAGGCCTTTCTCAGTGTGAGCTTCAAGGTGCCAATGGCCTTCATCAATCGATTGGTGCACTCCATGCATAGACGCTGTGCTGCAGTTTTGGCCCCTCGTGGTGGTCACACTAGATACTGAAGTCAAAAGTCTGAATGGACTGCAAACGTTCACGTAATGTCTTGAAATTGTGAGTTATTCATTGATATGTCAAGATATTGTACACAAAAAATGTTTTTGATCAGCTTATTATGTCCATTTCTGTAATGATTTGATTACAGTACCTATCTAATTTTGAATTCGAACTGATGTGTTTTTTTGCTGATGAGTATAGTTTTTGTTAAGTAACATTTAGAGAGTGAGCATAGATTTAGTCAAATTTTGAAACACACAAGCAATGTGTATCTTTTCAGAACATCTGACACTTTTCCCTATAAATAAAGGAAGATGTGGTTATGTTCCTCACCGGATCTCCCTCAGCATCGGCTAAGTTGTGCGACGTACGTCCTTTCAGCAGATCATCCCACGGCTCTGCTACGTCTTCAAGCTACAACAGCAGCATAAAACTTACTTCCGTAACACTGATTAGGTCATCAGACAGTATTCTGTTAAGAAAGTCGACAGCTACCTACACAACTCATATATTCACCATGGATCTTAAACTGACTGTTTGTGGCAGACCAGAGCTCCAGATAAGATTTAGCTCATGTGGGTACTGAACCCACTGTATTTTTTTAGAGTGGGTATTATGAATGTTGAGTGGGTATTTAATTTTCTGTTACCCACTGCTTTCAAATATGTGCGTATTTGAGTCATTTTACTCACCTAAGTATTATGTCATTGAGTAAGTTTACTAAACAGCTATGTTCTGCCTTATGTCATACCTAATCAAAACCAACTTAAATATAATGAAAATGATTTCATAAACAATCACTCATCCTACACTGACAGTACAACACTTGTCCTATACTAACAGTACAACTTGATAGCAATCGATGTCTTTTTCATTACGCAAGCGATTATTATAAATATATTTTGTACGCAATTTGTTTTAAACTTTTGGCGTATTTAACATTTTAAATGCGTAATTGGTACGCAACCATTATTTTTCAATGCGTAACTGGAAATTTTCTATGTGTATTTTACCCGGATACGCAGCTTATCTGGGCCTCTGGCAGACAAATATTAACTGTGTCCACAGCAAAACACCCTACTCTGGCGAGTCCCAGGGCCCTGTTCCTCAAAGTGATCGTAGCACTACGACAGTCATAAGTCTATGTTAAAGTATAAGTTACGATCATCTTAGCGCTATGGGGCCAAGAAGTCATTTAAAATTTCTTTCTTTCTCATAATGCACAAATAAGCATATCATTTCTCCATTAAATCAACAATATCAAGTGGAAGCTGCAGTGGCTGAGCGGGTTAGGCAGCTGACTGTGTGCTGGCAATTAGGTGGCTGACTCTGAGGGTGTGGGTTTGAATCCCAGATGGGACTGGACCCATCAAAAGTACTAGAATCGGTACTTAACTGAGAAATTGTAACCCCAAACATAACATCTTTAATAATATCATGGGTCATGTCACTGATAATTCCTGGATTGAAACGACAAATCACAGGATTCTGCTGTGCCCAAGGGATGCAACTCTGCATAGCTAATCGTGTAACAACTGAACCCAGTATAATGAACCCTTTTGCATCTTGTATCTATTTTCTCCCTCACCTTTAACCTGATAACATAGGGTGTATTTCTTGCTAACTTCTCCTTGACTTCTGAACTTGACCACTGGCGACACCTATTGTCATATCTCGGGGTCTCCCCTCTGCGACCAGCTTCTTTACGAACTAGTTCCAGTCTTCTTGGCGTACAGAAACAATGGTATGCACTCTCATTCTGTAACAGAAATATTCTGCTTTACACAATTAGCATGATAATAAACAATGATTTGTTTATCAGATCTGTAAACTGTGAGAGGTCACTCATTCGCATTACTGCCCGACCACGGACAGGGAAATTCTGCATGTCACACAAAAACGTGTCTAAAAGTGTTACTAAGAAAATAATTAAACATAATTTGGTACTGTCATTGATAGTTGTTCAAGTTAATGAATGACATAAATGAAAACGTAAAAATGAAATCAAATAGTTAAATTTTGATGACAATGCACAAAATTCGAACTAACCTGTAGAGGTTTAAGATTCTTTGAATATATTCATCCTTGGGGTACTTATAAGCATTTAAATGTCCATTTAAAATCCCTACGACAGTTGTAACAATATTTTGAATAAAATATTTACAAAACAAAACTACGTTTTGTCTTGTGAGACCACCCTTACAGGGCCCTCTGGCCCCCTACAGCCAAGAGCAGGTAACTCCAGACCGTAACCTCGTACCTCACTTTCCATGCTGAAACGAAGTCAGACAGAATGCGAGGGAGGTGAGTACCCAAGAAATATATTCAAAGAATCTTAAACCTCTACAGGTTAGTTCGATTCTTTTTATATATTCCTCCTTGGGGTACTTATAAGCATAAGACAGACTCCTAAAGGCGGATCTCAGGAGCGGCATTCTGTCTGCTTAAACAACCCGACAAGTGGAATTTCCCAAGCTAATTATAGCAGAAAAGGCACACTTACCGGTCCGTGTGTCCACCAAAGCCAATCAGGGCGGGGGCATGAGCCAGGGTCAGGGAGTAGCGTGATGCAAATTTGTCCAGCGAAACCTGCTGCTAATGCAACGATCGAGACACACCCTCCCTCCTTCCGTAATCTGCACCGGAGAAGTGAAGATAAGGGTCCCGCAATAAACCCAGAAAACGAAATGCGAGGAATATGAACAGCAAAGTTTCCAAGGGGCAGTTTAGTCTATAAGCTTCGGTTAGAAAGCAAGAGACATGGGAATAAAAACCATCACCACATAAAACCATCACCAAGGAAAATGTAACAAGATTTGTAAAACCCAACACCAGTGTTAAAAATTGGCAGATAATGGTTCACACAATAAAACCTCCAGAAAGCTCAATGCGGCTAGAGAGGTGGAACCATGCCCACTGGAGAGAACTGACTGACCGAACCAAGCACGCTCACTGGAGAGTCTGTCAAGTTGGTAATGACGGATGAGCGTGCGTCGGTCGGACGGACTCCAAATAGCCGCGGAGCAGATCTCCTCAATGGGCAGGGCTGCAGCGTAGCTTTATCGATGTAGCAACTGCCCCTAACCGAATGAGCTTTCAACCCGACAGGCGGGATCGCCCTGTTTGAGTGTAGCTCATGTGTATGGCGAGAGACAAGCCACCTAGAAATGGTTTGCTTGGTGGCGGAAGACCAGCCTGAACCCGCCATAACAACAAAACAATTGGTTACCTTCACGGGTACCCTTGTTACGTTTGATATAAGCCTTAAGTGTCTTCACGGACATCTAAGGCGTGAAGCGCGTCGTAGAGAGTACCGGACAGGGAAGGCTGAGTGGAAGCTGGGAGTTCAATAGGCGCCGTCACATGGAAGGGACTATCCTTCTTAGGGCGGTAAGTATCAGGCAGCCGTATGCTAACTCTGTCTTTGTGAAAAACAGTAAAGCGGGGATCGGCCGACATTGCGTGAATATTGCCAACCCGCCTGCCTGAAGTCACCGCCACAAGAAGCGCCCGTCTTCCGTCAACAGCTGGAGTGAAAAGAGCCGACAGATTGTGAAACAGTGGACGGACAGCCAATCAAGAGCGATTGACAAGTCCCGCGAGACTAATCCGCGGACAACGGACGGATTCTGTCCACGCCTGCTAAAAGCTGTACCAGAGGGTGCTGCCCCAAGAGAGCACCGTCAACAGGAATGTGAAGCGCGAGAAATAGCTGTAGAATACCTCGAACAGTTGAAGCCGCTAGACCGGCTTCCAGCGAACTGGAGGAATTCTAACACACAGACTAAATCTGTAGAAAAGGGATCAAGAATCCTCCTGTTGACACACCAGCGCGAATAACAGGCCCATCTATCCTCATATTGAGCGTTTAGCCGAATCCCTCCGCGAAGCCAGAATTGTGTCTGCAACTGGTGCAGGAATTCACGCTCGCATGGAGGCGATCCCTGATAGCGACCAAGCCACCCACTGAATCCTGGGATTGGTGGGAAGCTCCGTTCTGGGATAGGAGGTCGGTCGAAAGGTAATAGAACAGGAGGCTGAGCCAGAAACCTGAGAATTACGGAAACCAGCTTTGTTGCCCGACCAAAGGGGTGCCAGAAGCACAAGTAGCGAGCTGTGGTTGTGCGGTCAGCTGCGACAGGACCCTGGAAATCAGTGGTATCCGGAACGCATACAGTACCCTGTCCGTCAATCTAGCTGAAAGCGTCGTTGGCTAACGCACCCGGATCGAATCGGGGAGCAAAACACAGGAATCTGGTTAAGTCACCCCAGGCGCAAACAGATCCACCTGGAAACGACCGAACAACTGGGAGATAATCCCGAATATCTCGGTCGAGCATCCACTTCGTGTGGGGCTAGTATACGCCCGTGAGCTGGCGTCTGCCGCGGGCGTTGTCTACCCCGGGGAGATAAACGGAGGCAAAACCGAATGTTGAACTGATCGCACCACAGTAGAAACTGCCACGCCTCCTGAAGGGCCGCGAACACTGTGCCGCCTTGCTTGAGTATGTAAGTCATGGCGTTTGATTGTCCATTTCTAGGCGAACCACTGCGGCCCTGCACCAACACCGGAAGCACTCGAACACCTTGCGGACTGCTCTCAGTTCTAACACATTGATGTGTAGGCTGACCTCCCGCTCCGACCTGCCGGAGGCTGAGTGCTCGCCCAGGACCCCAACCTGTGAGGCGTCCGTCTGAACTGAGAGGGAAGGTGTCGAGGGGGTAACCGAGGGGATCCCCTGGACAAATTCCGACTTCCGTCCACCATCATAAGTGAGGATTAACCACTCTGGCGTTATGAGCCCTGCGAGGGAGGGGACCACAGCTGAGCTAATGCTTGCTGAATTGGTGCAGCATCCTCAAGCAGCGCCGCACCAAACCCGATCCACTGTCGCGCCATGTTGCCGAGCAACCCGAAGCCATGTTAGGGCCCTGCTTGAGGAGGACTGGAGGAACTGTAACACAGTCCCTCGGACTTTGGCGATCGCGGTCCTGAGCAAGGGAAACAATCCCTAGCGCCGTGTTGAATCTGGCTCCCAAGAATATCAGATCCTGCGTCGGAACGAGTTCTGATTTCTTGAGATTGATAATCCAGCCCAGTGACACCAGAGTATCCAGCACGCACAGTGTGGAGGCTCTGCTTAACTGTGGACAGGACCCAGGGATTTGAGGTGGCTGCCTCCCACTCCCGGAGGAATAGGGACAGCCGGCCGCCGACAGGGACGTGTGGCAAGAGGCAGTGCACCCCCACCGTCGGCAAGTCTCGGCTTGCGTGAGTGGGGGCAACAAGGGGCTCTGGGGCATGAATCAGTGGGAAGCGGGGCTGGTCCCGCGTGCAGACTGCCTGCTGCTGGCGCCCAGGCTTGCCCTTGCCTCTCGGCCTGCTCGCTTGGACTGCAAGGGGCAGCCCACTTAACAACATCCTTCGCTGAGGGGCGAAGGGTAGCGGATCTGGCGGCGAGGGAGGAGATGGCGAGGCGGAGGCTGCTGCTCCAACAAAGGCTTTGAGTCCTTAAAAGGTAGAGAGGCAGCCTCCAGCGGCCTCCCAGAACCACCTGCAATGCCCCAGGGAACAGGGGAAGATCCCATGGTATAGGGCAATGAAAGTAGAGAGCTTGCTGTGTGGCGGCGAATCACCGTGCCACAGACAGCCACAGGCGGCGCCAAGCCCATGACTGCACCATCATCTGGCTGGCACAGCACCTAATGCTGTCCCGAGCGACAGATGTGAGTCTTTATCCGTTAGTTGCTTTCTTGAGCACCGACTCGATGAGTCGGCACCGCCAGCGCCTGTGGGCCACCAGCTGTCCCTGCAATGCAGACAGGTAGGCTGAATGGGCCCGGCCACTTTAAGTTGCTGAGGCGCGCACCCGGTAACATTCTTCAAATGACCGGTAGGCAGACTTCAGCGGTAGTGATGTACTAGCGGGAAAGGGGAGGCGCCTGCCCTGCCTGGCGAGGCCAGGGGAAGAAACGACCCTCCTAATGTAACCCGAGTAAATACGCTTTTCGTCCACCACTGGTGGTTGAAGAAGCGTCTCCTCACCTAACTGGTACCGCCCTGCCCGTCAGGCAAATCAAAGCGGCGGCAGTACCCAGCCAGGAGCCGGATTCACCACTTCACTGACCAGTGATGGGAGAATCGCCCAGAAGCGAAGCCTCTGCGACCGGTTAGGTCGCGAGCGCCTCCCGGGAGCGAAAACTCCAGCGGTCCGGGTGCGGGGCGGGAACAGCCACCTGCGGCAGGACTTGGCGATCTTATCCTCCGAACCTGCCGCGGGGGCGAGGCAAAGGTGCGGTACTCCGCCTCCGGTTCCTCCGTCCCTTCCTCCTCCTCCATACTCGACCTGCGGCAGAATCCTCGGCCGTCATCATCTCAGATTCCTGAGAAGCGTCGAGGAGGCGCCAGAGCAGGACCAGAAAAAATAATAAAAGGTCCAGAGGGAGCCAGGGGAAAAACATCACCCTGCGGGAGGAACCCGCGCCAGGTCACGCCGGTAGCCGAGAGAACCTGCCGCAACAGGCTTCCCGGGCAGCCCAGACTGGCTGCCAGGCGCCCGAGTATCCCGAACTGTGTCGGTGCCTGGCGACCGCCAGTCGGGCACCAGGCGATGACAGGGGCAACCCTGTCTGCGCCGATGGCACCAAGCACCTGTGACAGCTCGGTAAAGCCAGAGTGCGTCACCAGGCGCCGAGGCATGCCATCACCATGGCGAAGCCAGGATCAAGCAGCCGAGGCGTTCTCGAAGCGAACTTCGGGCGCAGCTAACCCCAGATGTGTCAGCTCCGCCCGGCGACCCGGTAGCTGAGCTCCTTCACGGAACCCTGCTACTTGCCCGTTATCAATCAGGGACTTGACTGGCGACATCTGCTCCTGGAAAAAAGCGGTTAACGAATCAACAGGAACATTTTGTACAGGTGCTGAATCAAGAGGGGGTGGGGTACAGAGATGGAAGCAGGAGGAGGCGGCCGAAGGGGCATGAGTCGCGTGTGAAGCCTTGGTAGCCTTAGCTTTCTTGGGAGCGGCTCAGCGTGGGAAGCGGCTCCCGTGGACCACCACTACTATGGGGCGCTTGGGCGGGGATCCTGCGCCCAGAGATCACCCGCCGAAGCAGGTTGCTGTAGAACAGCGCGTGTCTATGCGCCTCGACCCGAATGGTTTGGGGGCGAGAACATGGCACATGCCGCACACCCTCTTCCTCATGTTCCTTCTGCACTAAACAGCGTAAGCGAACCTCGTGGGAATCCCGTCGCAGGGGATTGCAGCAAGGCAGGAAGTACAGGGTTTAAACTGCAACAAGTAAAAACCTGTGCAGCAATCTACCCTATACCCACATACAAATACATGTAAACAGGCGCATGGGCGACACAACTAATCGACAACGTGGCATGCAGTTGACCTAGTACACACTGCAGCACAACTAACAATTACGGTTTTAGCGTAATATAGAAAATCGCGAGCAGTTGACATCGCCCTACGTACAAAGATACAAATAAAAATCACTAAAACCACCTGTAACATTGAAAACCACATGGGAAACCAATGAACAGTAAGGCTAATGAAGGGACCTGTCCGCCATCTTGACACGCACTAGCGAGCCCGACCCAGCGACAGGTACCAAGTTACAACGAGGGAATTTATGAATGAAAAAGTTCAGAATAAACCTCCAATTAAGCCCATGCAGGAAAAAAGAGAACCATACATACAGTTGCAGTTTCTGAAACACTCATAACTCTCTTAGTCGCAAGGAAAAACCTTCTGGTATGGACCCACGTCTTGTCGGTACAACGACAGCATGGAAAGTGAGGTACGAGGTTACGGTCTGGAGTTACCTGCTCTTGGCTGTAGGGGGCCAGAGGGCCCTGTAAGGGTGGTCTCACAAGACAAAACGTAGTTTTGTTTTGTAAATATTTTATTCAAAATATTGTTACAACTGTCGTAGGGATTTTAAATGGACATTTAAATGCTTATAAGTACCCCAAGGAGGAATACATAAAAAAGAATTGAAGATTTTTATAGATAATTTCACTTACATGCATATTTTTCAGAAAGTATTTTCTGAAAGCTCATTCACTGCGGAATCAAAATATATATACAACTTTTAAGACACACGAACGCACACCTGTTTATTGCGTTGAAACATTTACTTTCTTCGAAACTTCGTGAAGCCAACTACCATGAATCAACTGGGGAAGCTGAGCTCTTAAGCAGTAAGATATCGAGCAAGGGAATAACAACAAAACAAGACTTAATGCATTGTATCAACAGGAGATAACATAAGGTTTGTTTGTAGCATTTCCTGGATTGGCGTCATGTGCTTCAAGGTTCCACTACACTAAATCAGTATGGCTTCCTTTCGCTGAGCGGTCCCATTATGTAAACAAGTCAAGAGAGACAGGAACATGTGACAGCTGTTGATTGGATGAAATAGTGTAAGATGTTTGTTTTAAAAGCACATCCAACCAGTAATTAAAACTGACCACAATTTTAAGTATTTAGTGCTGTCATTTTTATCACCATCACTTATGCTTATTGTGTTTACATTTTGACATTTAATGTAATCTCAACACTATTTTCAGCTTGTAGAATGCCTGTTGGTGAATGGGGAGGTGTATCTTCACAAATACAGCAGAAAAAGAAGCCTTCATCAATGTGGTATTTAGACAAGCCGACCCGAAGTCTGTTGTTGGCAGTGTCTAATCAAGCATACTCCCTTTGCTTCGATATGCTTTACCGCCTTGTAGAAGTTGAAGTACTTGGACATGTAGGTACATATAGTACATTTAAGTGTCCCAGTCCAGTTAAGGCACCACTACCAAATTCCATCACTCGGTCATCCTCATCCATTAGAAATTTCTGACAGTGTCCCCTTAATGCCTCAGTGTGTAGTATTTCAGTTTCCCAGACATGAAATAAAGGGCTGTACATCAATCCCAGAAGCTGCTTAGATGTAAATAATAACAACTGACCCTTGTGGAATGTAATATTATGGGTCTGAATTCACATTTTATTGACATGAGAGTGTTCGATATCTTAAAATTATCTCCCCTGTTTACCCAAATACATTGCGTCTTTCTCTAACCCAGTAACCCATAAATTACTGCAGAGAAGCTCTGTTTTTAGCTGATATTGCCAAACACTGTTAATTGTAATTAAAAATATTCAGTTTAGGGCAGGGTAACCAATAAATTTGCAAAGTTATGCGGATTTTTTCACTTTGTTCCCTCTAAACTGGCTTATACATGAAATTGGCAAGTCTAACAGCCTCAAAACAATACACAGTCAATAATTTTGAATTTCAGGAAGTATTTCAAAGTCTTAGCTTGATGAATCAATAGATTCAAGTGTAAGTTCCTATCATGCTGTGGTCTAAAAGTGATTTCATCTGTTTAAGGGGTCATTTGCCCTTGATAGACTAACGAGGCTGACGGGGTACTGTGGTCAGTGTTTCAGACAGCTAGGCATAATCCAACCCCTCACTTATTACATTCTGGCAAAATTCATCATCCAGCCTTACATATATCAGGATGATAAAGCTGCTTAAGGTTAAACCTGTCAAATTTCTGGCCTGAATTCCATGATTTTTGTCGTTCAAAATATATTTTGGATTGATATGATCAAGGCAGTCCCAGTCATGCATGGAATTAACCCATGGCTCCCCTTCTTTTGTGAAATAAAAGTAAACTCCCATGGTATATGTATGATTTAAAAACTTTCTCTATTAATGCAGAAGTGCATTTTGTATAGCTTTGGTGAAATAGACATGATATAACTCTTACAGCTCTGTCAGTGCAGCAAATCACTGTTCTTGTGCCATATAGATATGTTGGACAGGAAAAAGTATTGAAGCTTCATGCATTTTTTTATTTCTTCTGAGAAGTTACATGTATATATACAGTACATAAATCACAGATTTGCCTAGGGCAAATGTTTCTAAATTTTCCTATAGGTTCAACTACACTAAATCATTATGTAAACAAGTCAAGAGAGACAGAGACATGTGACAGCTGTGATTGGATGAAATAGTGTAAGATGTTTGCTTTTTAAAAGCACATCCAACCAGTAATTAAAACTGACCACAATTTTAAGTATTTAGTGCTGTCATTTTTATCACCATCACTTATGCTTATTGTGTGTGTACAGATATTTTCCAGTAGGTGACATTTGGTGGGGAACTGGGGTTGATGTGTTCCAGCTTCCTGTGCTTTCATAAAGCAGGCGGACAAGTTGGCCAGATATTGTGTTTTATTGTAGTTTAAAGGCCAGAGTGTACCCATGTGTACATGGAATGGCTGTTGATAGCCTGTCTATTTTTAAAAATTATAAAAGGTTACTATAGAAGTCTATGGGAAAACATTTGGTGGTGTGTAACCTCAAATATAGGAAAATATGAGTTACTTCCCTTTATTTCATTATCAAAGCAATACTGAGACAGCACTCACATCTTTAATTACAATCCAAGCTTGATAATATTTGGGTTCTTACAGATTATCAGCCATCAAATTCAAAGGCCTTTTTTAGGTGATTTCCAAGGCAGAATTTACAATTTTAAGGAACTATACAAACACATAACACATAAGTAGTTGAATACCACAGTGAGGTTGGTCAGATGTGGGGACCATCAGAGGGAAATAACTCTCAGCTACATTACTGTTCTTGGAAAGTTTTTGCTTCACAATGGAGATTAGCTCAAACATATTGTCATTGCAAGGTATTTATATTATGTATTAGTTTCCTGTAAAATTATAATTTGACAAGTTTTGCTAGATTAAGGGCATTTTTAGGACAAATCACTTGCAATTAGAGCCTATTCATGGCTAAATTGAATTTAGGGCCCTTTTAGAGTAAAATGTCTAAATTTCAGGCTTATTTCATCCTCTATAATCTCCAGGGAATACAATAATCAGGCCGAGGCGTAGATGCATCCAGGGTGCAAGTGGCGATTTATTTGAACATATAGCCTCGAGGGATGGGAATTTTCATGTGCAAACCCTGGTGTAGATAACTCTGTGATCAGTATCGCGGGAATCTGTCTATACAGGGCCATCATGAGACTGTTAGACAACCCGATTCTGACAGCGATAAACATTAAGACAGATTCTGTATGCTCTAGGGTGTTTCTACTTACTTGAATAAGCACTTTGATGCTTTCTTGGTAGAGCTCAATTCTTTCAGACTGAAAAGATAATGTAAAGAATGACAATTAACATTCCTCAAATGTAAGTACAACTCATACACATTACAGTGAGTGAGTTTAGTTTTATGCCACACTCAGCAATATTCCAGCTATGTGGCAGCGGTTTGTAAATAACCGAGTCAGGACCACATAATCCAGTGATCAGCGGCATAAGCATCGATCGCCATTGGGATATGATGACATGTGTCAACCAAGTCAGTGAGCCTGACCTTCTCGATACCATTCTGACATGCCTCTTCTACGACAAGCATGGGTTGCTAAAGATGTTTTTTACTGAACATTCAGACATCTCATACCTGTTTGTATGGACCATAGTTACCACCTTGGCTGGGCCCTGAAAATTAATAGACACTGATATACCGGATATAATAGAAGATCAAATATTCAAGATTACACAATATTTGCAAACATCCAGTATTGACAGAAAACAACATTTAAGAGACTGCCAAGACCCAACAGAAATATTACCTCCAATCACCCAGGCAAATATACAAAAGAGTCAAGGTCACCCACATGTCAAATATATCTTCATGAGTCAACAAAACATACTGACTCAACTCCTTGGTTTGCCAAAGTGTTTTTAACTTCTATTATCCAAAAGCATTCTTCCAAGTATTTTAATCAGTGCATGTGTAAGTGCAGGGCGAGATGACCCGTGAAGATCCGGTTAAGAATTGATCTTTCGTAACCCATGTTTGTCATAAGAGGTGACTAATGGGATAGGGTGGCCAGGCTCGCTGATGATGTTGAGACATGTCATCGTTGTGTACATTGTGTACATCCAGATTCCATTGCATACAGATCGCGGCCATACAGCTGGAATATTGCTGAGTGTGGTGTAAAATTAAACTCACTCACACACTTGAATGAGACATTTCTTACCTACCTTCATCAGGCGAGATACCTGCCCAGGATAGCATTTCTTCCAGCTTTTCTGTTGCCCTTGGTACTAAGCGGGTCTGAAACACAGCACCAACCTGTCATAGTCACAAAACAATTTTCAAACAAACATTGTAAATGGAAAGTTGTTTCTGAAAAAAAGTAAAGAAAGAAGTTGGGGGAACGGAAGGAAGTCTTTCCAAAAAGTTATGTCCAGAAAAACCAGCCATGAAAAACGCAACTAATGGTGCAAAGTGATTTACCTGATCTCAGGGGCGGTCTGATGCAGACCTAAAGTAGTGGTTAAATGTTCGCTCGTCATGCCGAAGACCCAGGTTCGATTTCCAAAATGTGTGGTGCCAATTTCTGGTGTCCCCCGGCGTGACATTGCTGGAACTTTGCTAAAAGCAGTGTAAACCTAAACTCACTCACCTGATCTGTGTCTTCGATTCGAAGCAGAAACTTTCCTCCTGGGTTGGATTTCGCGAACAAATAGTTGTAAAGTGCCGTCCGGAGGCCGCCAAGATGCAGCATCCCGGTGGGGCTTGGGGCAAATCTCACCCGAACACATCGTTGATGATGCAGTTTCCGTGCGGTGTGCAATCCGCGTCTAAGGCGAACGGTCAGTCTCGCCACAGGCCATGCGCCCGTGAGCGCAGCCATTTTGGATTAGACAGATAAATACGGTTCACTTCCAAAACGGCACTATGAACAAAATGGCCATTTAAAATTATTGACAATAATTCATTTAATCTGTTTAGTAGATCTATTTATTAAGTTTAAATTACGCAAATTTTCTGTATATATCACTTTGTTATAGTTTTCGGACGCTCAAGAACATTGGTTTGGTTTTCTTGATTATCAAATGAACAATTTTACAACATGATGTTAAGTATTAAAAACGACTTTCTTAAACACAATTAAGCCATCATTCGGGTATTTCCAATGTGCGTGACCAAACCCTCTTTGTAAATACTGCAGTTCCGAAAACCAATGATTCGACGATGTTTACCAGGTTTCATATTATATTCATATCAGACCACGGTTACTCTTGTAATAGGCTTCTCTGCCCAGTGACAGTTGAAGTTGGCTAGTAGGATTTAGGACCTTGCGTTGTGTACTTTTTTTATGTGGTGATGGTAAAGCAGGCCTCATTGCTGGTAAAAACATAACAAATAGAAAAGAGAAACTCAATAATTTATTTACAAAAACCTAAACCTAAACCTATCCTAACCTAACAACCTAACCTAATCTATACCTAAAAATCTAACCTAACCCCAAACCCTAATGAGAAATGGCTCTGGTTTCAGAGCCTATGTCCAAAACAAATATATATATATTGTTTAGAAATTATCATTTAAACTATTAATAATTACCGTAGAGACTAGAGTCTACATTCACTGTGCAAATATGCGCAGCTGAAGTTGAGCAAGAATACAATGATTATTGGGTACATGGTTTCACCAAGTGGTCAGCATTGGTCTGGCGTCATTTTCAGGCATTCATCCCATGGATAGCATGAACATATTCAAAGCGTCCATATTTATGTCCATATATCGCTCATCATGACTGATTGATTGAGTGTAACGCTGCACTCAGCAATATTCCATCTATATGGCGGCGGTTTGTAAATAATCTGGACCAGACAATCCAATGATCAACAGCATGAGCATCGATCTGCGCAACTGGAATAAGATGACATGTGTCGACCAAGTCAGCGAGCTTGACCATCCGATCCCGTTATAGTCGCCACTTGCGACAAGCACGGGTTCCTGAAGACCAATTCTAGCCCGGGTCTTCAAGGGTCAGCGAGCTTGACCATCCGATCCCGTTATAGTCGCCACTTGCGACAAGCACGGGTTCCTGAAGACCAATTCTAGCCCGGATCTTCAAGGGTCAGCGAGCTTGACCATCCGATCCCGTTATAGTCGCCACTTGCGACAAGCACGGGTTCCTGAAGACCAATTCTAGCCCGGATCTTCAAGGGTCAGCGAGCTTGACCATCCGATCCCGTTATAGTCGCCACTTGCGACAAGCACGGGTTCCTGAAGACCAATTCTAGCCCGGATCTTCAAGGGTCAGCGAGCTTGACCATCCGATCCCGTTATAGTCGCCGGATGCTTCACGGGTTCCTGAAGACCAATTCTAGCCCGGATCTTCAAGGGTCAGCGAGCTTGACCATCCGATCCCGTTATAGTCGCCACTTGCGACAAGCACGGGTTCCTGAAGACCAATTCTAGCCCGGATCTTCAAGGGTCAGCGAGCTTGACCATCCGATCCCGTTATAGTCGCCACTTGCGACAAGCACGGGTTCCTGAAGACCAATTCTAGCCCGGATCTTCAAGGGTCTGCTGATCATGATATGTAATGAGTATGTTTTATATAATACCGCCGTTCACGAGGAAAGCCCTAGATCATGCATGGATTATCGTCGCACGTCTTCAAAATCAGTTTGTTATATACAAATCAATAAGAAGTGTATAAAATTAGAATTTCACACACCCAGAGCACACCAAGGTAGGATGAAATAAAATTCACCGATTGAAAGCAACAATCGGATACACCTGCTTGAGTTGTCAGTCAAGACGTGATGGGGTCACTTTACGACGATGTCGTATTGACCACAGTCGGTTTACTCATGACTGCCTGCTCAAAATACATGGAGATGGACCTCCAAAGTGTATGAAATGTTCACCATAAAGAATACACTGCTTGACTGTGTGAACTTTTCAAATGCAAGGGATTCATATTATCCCGATTCAGCCATACATATGCAAGGGATTCATATTTTCCCGATTCAGCGGGCATCTACTATTAAAACTGCTTGAGAGAAATTGATCTGTGTCATAAATTGTAACTATGTCATGTGTATGATTTTCATAACATAGGTGGTATTTCGAGCACAATACCACTGTAGTAATGTGAATAAGCATCGAAACACATCCTCACAAAATGGTAGCGCTGAAACTTACGAGGTTTTGCATGTCATTTCTGGCGACCAATAAGATAGGTGCTTTTGAAAAATGGTTGTATCTTGGAATTCTATTGGAGGATTGTTTTGAGAATTTGACAGAAAATGCATTGTTACTAGATGAATGTATTTTTCATCTAAAGTCAATTTGGACAAAATGCCGACTTACGAGGTTTTGACAGGACTGTGATTTTGACTCTGTTATTCTAGATTCGGATAATTCACCTTAGTATGTAACACTGATTCTTGCTATAAATATCCAACCGTATAATCAGCATATACGGTCGCAATTTAAAAACCGATTCACCATAACTTTTGACCGATTCACCATAACTCTCCTACCCACTGATAACGAGAGGGCGGTTTCATGGGAATTCCATCCATTTTAATATAACACTATGTTTATTGATCATTGTGTGATTTAGTCAGTGTGCACATAATAAACGTGTTTATTGTGATTATTTGACTTGTTTGTTGAAGTTTAAAAATGAAACTTATTTTTCTGGCGAAGGTGTAAGTTCCAGCTAGGGTCCCTGGCCCCGTTTCACAAAGCCCTCGTAAGTCTAAGATCTCGTAACTTTTCTCGTAGCATTTGTACCTCCCATACTTTACTTAGACTTACGACAGTCGTTGCGCTACGATAGCTTTGTGAAACGGGGCCCAGGGCCTAGATTTTTGAAGCTCTCCTAGTGGTAAGATGATCGCAAGTGCCATGCATTAACATTACTTAATTTACGACTATCTTAGCTCTAAGAGAGCTTCGAAAATCTTGGCCCTGGAGTGATAGTATTAACCTCTGACCTTGAGGAACTTTAACCTGGCTTAATAATGAATTTCATTCATGAAAAAAGCGTTTTAATAACGAATTGAATTAGAATGGAACAAGTGTAGAATGTAGACTTTAGAATGCACAGTTATCCCCTAAATGACGTTTTCGATATAGAATACAGAACCTTCTACATACAAGTTGCCCTCAAATTTTGATAATACATACAGCAGTTGGCCATAAGTGAATCATCATTAGTGAAATTCCCATAGACGTGCATGTGCATTAACTGTCGCAAGAATAATTTTCATAAATTTAGTTTCGGTCGAATTGGTTTCAATACTTATCTACCGGCTGGGAAATAATCTCAGCTACATTCACATAATTTCCATTCTATTTTCCGATGACTATTAAGAAAACTGCAACTGTTTATAAAACAACATTACATTAGACATACCAATCAGGTTTAATTAACATGGCTGCGGGATAGATTAAAATGTAGTTGTGCTTAAATGGTGCTTAATCAGGTGTCATGCAATAACTAATCAACTGAAAGATGAAAGAAAATCATGTACACGTAGATGAAGATGATTTCCAAGATGTTTGCAAAATAACAAAATATAATGACTTCTACTCAATTTATGAAAATTATTCTTGCAACAGTTAATTTACATGTAAGTCTATGGAAATTTTACCAATGATGACTCACTTATGGCCAACTGCTGTAGTCAATTCCATCGCTAAGTGCATGAAATTACTAGAGAGCATACTGGTATATATTGGCTCTAACATCTCTCATTCGCTGTATATGTAAAATATACATTTTGAGGACTGCCTGAAGAATTATACTACTCACATGATTGTGATTTACTTGATAACATTACATATACGCCAACAGCCAACGGAATTTGTTTACGTTGGTTTCCAATACAGTTGGTGATTGGAAAGAGAGTTGTGTCGTGCCCATTAAATGTGAAATGATGGCCGTTTCAACATTAAACAGTTAAGCATGATGGCGGATTTGGCAACGTACTGGAGGAAACCGGATGTCGGCATGTCGCAAAATAGTGGATGAGGTTAGTTATGCTGTATAACGCTTGAGACAGTACTATCAGTTTTAAATCGATCTATGTTTATAGCGTCTTCATTTACGTCTCCACGTTTTTAGATGTAAAATAATTTTGAAATAAATACCAGCCTCCAAGTTCCGTTAGATCCGACACTAACGGGCGTAATTTTGAAATAATAAATACACGAAAAACGCCATTACAACATCGCGCACCTGTTATCCATATCCGGATGTGCAAGGCCATGCTCAAATTGCGTGTGATAACAAAAGTTGGAATGTAAACATTTCGAGAGCATCTTAAAAGATCTACACTACTAAATATCAACAGAACAGAAGTTTCAGTCCACATACGATGGTAAGTGCTAATGCCCTCGATCAACTCGGTGTGGTCGGGAGTTTAATGTTTACTGTGAGTATGTTGAACGCTTCTTCTGTTTACACGGAACGATCGGCATATTCTACTGAAAGGCTTGCAGTAGAATATGCCGTACACTGTTCTTGTAATGTTAGGGCGGTGGGGTAGAGTATTGGTTAAAACGTTGTTTCGTCACGCTGACGACCCGGGTTCGATTCCCACATGGGTACAATGTCATGTGTGGAGGCTGAATTCCATTCCTGGTGTCCCCGCCGTGATATTACTGGAATATATTGCTAAAAGCGGCTAAAAGTCATACTACTCACTCACTCTTGTAGCATTAATGTTATGTGACAGACAGATTGTAACCGTGGTAACACTGTAACAATGCAGTTTACAGTTTGCAGCTTAATACCGCTACCTTTATACAGAAACGTACCTGGGGTACGAATCAGAAGTACCAGTGCTGACAACCCCCATCAGCAGTACTGCAGATGTCTAA